CATTTATTCATAAGGCAAACAGAGACTGCTCAGTGAATGGGAATAAGTGTGTGATGATTTATTTAGAGCTATTTGTTTCAGGCCACACAGGCTAATTTCCCCTAAAACAACTAGTACTCTTTCGGCAACTCTGTGTTGACATACACGTCTGTATGTCTGTCGGGTTATACTCTGACAAACAAACAGAGCTATTTGTACCATCTCACTCTTGCTGCTATATTTAAATGCTGATGTACAAAGTTCTGAGGTAAAATTATTGAAAAATAAAGAAAAAGGAAAAAAATACATGTGGTATCCCGGTTATGAGCCTAATGATTATATTATGTTCACCTGGAACAACTAGTTACCAGTTTATTTGTCTCCCTGTCTCTCCCTCCCGATTCAGTTACATCAGCAGTTTAGGACCTACACTCTGGTGTCTGACCACCCAGAAACAGTGCTTCATTTATCACTCTACATTCGATTTGGCTTCTCTATCTGATCAACAATGATTAAATATGAGGGTTGAATTTATTTTGCCTAAATCATAGTTACAACATTTATTATTAGTTCTGTTTTAATAACCTCTATGGGACATAAATGTTGGAGTCATTTCTTTCCTTTCACCAATTTATTAAGTTGTATTAAGTTCATGAAAAAGTTCATGCCCATTTTCCAATTGCTCATTGTGTCAGACCAACAGCCCCGAAGAGAAAGATATTAAAGTAATAGACGTTTCTGGAAATGCATTATTACGCGCTTTTTCTCCCCAAAACCACAAATTGTTGCTAAAATGACAATTTGTGGTTTTGGGGGGAGTTATGTGCTGTAACTATTACTTGACATACAACAGTTTATCTGTCTGCACAGTAGTTCTGTGCAGTGTCTGCTGGTTTCCTGGAAACCTCACTGTGAAGAAGACTCATTGAAGTCACTATGGCTGCTCTTTGCTAAGAAATAGCTACAGCGTGTAACTCTTGCGTAAAAGCACAAATTGTTTTTGTTTTGTTTTTACATTTCTGTTTGTGTAAGGAATTTACCAAAAAGACAGGCCTACACCATGTTTATTAGTGAGAGCTCTTTGTAGATGGATTTTTGAACATTAAAGAGGGCCAGGCTAGCTATTGCTGCCCTTTTCCGCCCTTTATGCTAAGGTACGCTTATTTGCCCTCTGGCTGTAGCTTTATATTTAGCATTTATCTTCTTGTGTAACACTCAACAAGAAAACAAATAAACATATTTCCCCAAAATGTTCCTTTAATTTGTGAGCTTTAGGTGTCGCCCCGCCCCCCCTATTTCCACTCTTTATGCTAAGCTAAGCTAATTGCCTCCTGGCTCTAGCCTCAGACTTAATGCACAGATACAAGAGTAGTATCGATCTTCTCGTCTGACTCTTTGCAAGGACAGGAATGTGTATTTTTCAGAATCTTGAACTATTCCTTTAATTTAATGATACAAAACAGAGAAAAACAGCAAAAATGCCCTCTGTGATGGTGTGACTAAAAGGTTCCAGGGCTGAGTGTCAGGGCTGACAGAGCCTTCCACTAACAGGGCTAAACTTCTCCTCCCTTGAGGACGTTTGGTCTCTACCCCGAAGACGATCTGGCCGTCTTGTTTAGAGTTCTGTCACCCTGCTTTTCATCCAGGAGAAGGAAAATTTGAGCTTAACATGAACACATCTTTAATCATGTGTCAGGATCAATTATCACCCTTTTGAAATGCAGCAGCTCTTTTGAAGGAGGTTCTCTTAAGGAGAGATGCGTGAAAAGTTCGAAGTCAAAACACACATGTCTGGAAAGAGTCCTGCTCCCAGACAATCTTAATTGCCAATTTGGTGTGTTGTCTGCTGTACTCCGGGCACAGAAGTGACAGTTCAAAGAGCAGTCCCTCGCTTTATTACTAGCATGCAAAACCGTTGGTAAAATGCCTTTTCATCACGAACAAACAATTGGTCATTTTCATGAGAATGTCTTTAAACATAAAACCAATAATTTTGCTGCAGCATGGCTAAACATTTCTTTTTTTTCCCCACATTTTTTGCAGGCCACATTCTCTCTGTTATGTCAAAATGAGGAAAATCCACAGTGTGGTTTCAAGATAAAATATAGAAATAAAAACTATATGAATCCTCCGCAGAGAATAAGAAAGCCTCTCGTTCCCCATTTGTATCAGTATAACAAGTCAAACCAGAATTGTTGATGGGTAATGCATGCTATACTGTATGCTTAATGTAAATGCATATGTTAAGGTCTGGAGACTGAGTATGAAACACAGGTATCTTGGTTACATCTGGCCATACAGTGCACCAGATAACACTCAAAATTCTGCTTTGAAGTTTGAAGATCTCTCTTTAAGATACAAAGTTCACGATAGATAAAGCAAACTTGGAATTGAAAGTGCGACTCAGTCATCCCCTCGGCTGTTTTGATTAAGGCTGTATGTGGAGCGTGCCTGCCGGAGATATTTGCTCAGACTTGGCCAGGGATTAAGGGCTTCTCTTCTGGGATCCAGAGAAAACAGAGGTCTGAGCCCCTCTATGTCCCACCACGGGGCACAAGTGGGTGACATAGTTCGTGTGTGGATCCCATTGGGTCAGCGAGTGTGTGTGCGAGTGATTTTGTAGTTATGTGACACTGCCACGTCTGCATGTATGTATGTAATTGTCTGTGCGCTTGGAGGAAGAAGCACAGAGATTCTGGGTGAACGCGAATGCTCTCACTGCTGCCGTCTTCTTCAAAGCGATCTCTCTGATCCCTTCACTTCATGATTTTGCATGGCCTATATGATGCTCAGGGCACTTCACATGCTAGCATACACACACACACACACACACACACACACACACACACACACGCTCAGATCCTTGTTTTTCTGAAGCGCTGGCGGTTGTTATCGTACAGCCCACCCATCTTTCGCAGCGCTTCTGTAACGCCTGTGTGTGCAAAAACAGGCTCATAGTTGCGTGTATGGAGAGGGGGGTCCGGATGAGTGGAGGTTTTGGTGGCTTAGTTCGAGTTAAAGCAGGGTGGGTGTGAGCTAATTGTGCGCAGGTGACTCCACACAGGTGCTCCTGCATCTACACACACGTGTTTGTGAGGGAGAGTGATGCCATATTGATGGAGTGAGTAAAAGAAGCATAAAAGGGGGAAATATAAGAAGAAAGAAAAAAGCAGATCAGAGACCTTTTGCAAGGCTACCAGAAATGCCTGTCTTTCTGCAGCAGCTCGCCCCACCCTAAAAAAAGAAACCCACCACATGTGGTCAGCTGTTTTTCAATACACAGACTTTAAGTTCTCCCCAGGTCCGTGCCACTGATATTGAGCTGAATGCTCTCTGACAGGGGTGGTCTGTACGCCGTCCCGCAGCAGATGTTGTCATTCCATTTTCTCTTTCATAGTTAGCCGTTCTTCAGAGAACTGAGCGGGAGGATGAAAACTGTCTCTGTCTATTACTGTGAGGAACCGTCACTGGAGAGCCACTCAGGAAGGAATAACAAGCAAATTGAACAAGTCAACAAATGGACATCAGCCTCCCCTTCCCTCTGCCCCCGCGTCTCCGTGCAGGTTGTTAAAGTCACAACATCTCAGCACGCGGACGATCAGCATGAATAAGCTCCAGATATTTGTAGACTTTCAACAGGTCTTCCTCCTCTCATCGTGGTACATCTGCTGAGTGCTTGTCAGCAGTTTTTCAAATCAGTCAGCAGACTGCGAGGAGGAGGAGGCCAGGAGATTCCTTCAATAAAGAAAAGCACACAGGTGCAGCAGAGGAGGAGAGAAGAGATGGAGATGGGGTGTTTGGGGAGTAGAGACAGAAAAGGCATGAAGAAAGACAGACAGCTTGTCCCTTCAGGCACCTGCTGTAATGGTATGCTGTATATACATCATTAGAATAAGACTGCAGTTGTTCTGTACAGTGACAAGCATTTTTGTTGTTTCAGGCTTCCAGTGTTCGTATAAATCCATCATCAGGAAGAGGTGGAGGAGAGACATGCCTGATAATTGCTCAGTAGCATCAGTCAGACCTATAGTAAACAGCGATTGTTTGTCAGGTTAATCATCAACATTTACTGTACATACCTATGTATCAGCACGTAGACCGTCAACCTCTTCAGTTCTTCAGAAGCAGTTCAAGTATTTGAGAAGGGTTTTTATCTATTAATGGAAAATCTGCCCTTAAAACTAGGCAGCGATATCTGGATTAAGCATGATTTTAACCTCAAATAAGTTACCCCTGAACATTTTAGATTCAGGATGCATGTCTGCCAGATCGGCTGCCATTTAATGTTCAGTTTTAGGCTTGATTAACCCAATTTCTGTCACATCGGAAATGTTGGTTTTCTTGTTTGAGCAGATCCACGATCCGATTCCCTAAGTGGCGTATATTGTGGTTTCTCTTTTTATGTCTGCATTTTGAGGAAAAATGTTATTTGAATAAAAAAATGCACAAAACTTAGCAGGAGGTTTGTGTTTCTGTGCAGACACCCATGTCGTGAGTGGTTGTTCCAACCATACAGTGTGAGCATTAAGTCAGATGTTCTGCGTATCTGAATATTTGCTTTGCCTGTTCATTTCAGAATTGTCGTAAGTTGTGCATCACATTCTTTCACGTTAAATTATACATATTAGCTTGGAGTAACTGCAGTTAACCCATTTCCCACGAATGCTATTCCAACTTTTTTAATATTTGTCCCACAAAAAGCTTGTACCTCTGAGTCTTCAAGGAGCCAGAATAAAGCTTCCAGATTGCAAGCATCTTTTAAAATCCTCCTTTACTCTCTGCCCTGGAGGCTGGACGGAGATAAGCAGAGACAGTATGTGAAGGTGTAACAGTGGATATAGGAAAAGGAGCAAGGGAGTGCTCTTATGATTCTGCAGGAAGCCAAGCTTGTTAGATGCGTGATCAGCACTCTAATGACCTTAATATGCTCTCCTTAACATTATGGATATGGTTTGGTATCCTATTACACTGTATGCATATTAAAAATATATATATATATAAAGGCCAATGTAAATAAAATATTTACATATAACATCTTTTATTCAAGGAGTGCTTTAAAAATCCCAACAACTTTAAGAAAACAACAGTCAGAACAGCACAATTAGATTGGTAACATAACCCCCCACCCCCCCACTCCCCAAAAAACCTACAGTATATTAGGTTCGTTTCTGATGCTCACACCAAAAAACACTGTTGATTTTGTGTCTTTTGAGGCACATCTGCTTTCAGAAAGTGGCTCACAATACAAGCAGACAGAAATTAGGAACACAACTCAGCCATTGTTCTCGTGCTCCCTGGGTTTAAAAAGACTTCCACACACACATCGCCTGGAGGCAAGGAAGGCCAGTGACATCAAGTGTATTCAATTCACAAGGAGGCATGTTGAGGAAATTTGAGTCACAGTTTGGGAAGGCCCTTTGGAGGTATTTTCCCTTCCACCAGCGTCGCTGTTGCTTGAATAACAGCCAGCGCTATCTTTGCCTGTAACTTCATTAACTGGAGGTGGGGCAAACAAACCCTTGACATAAACTCACAGCTCTGCAACTGAAAGCTGGAAAGTGTTACCACACTTATCCACATATAGTAAACACATATTAGAATGGATGACCTGAAATTAATATGAGGATAACATGTTTTTAGTGTTCAGTATAAAACAAACAAAACTCTAAAGGCATGGGGGAGCACAATAATAACAGAGCAAATAATCACTGAGAAGTTATTCAAAATACATACTGCTTGTGTACTTCTTGAATAAATACATTTTAAAAAATACATATATTTTTATCTTTTCATATTCTTTTTTTGCTAGAAAAATGTTAAATTTTTTGAAAGCAGCTATGTATGTTTAAAATATGGCATTAACTCACTCAGTATCGGCTTTGATCAAAAGCCCCTGGACACAATGTGATTTTACCCATCTTCTTAAAGAAGCACTGCATAAGATATTTCTGTGTCACAGCCAAGGACTCCAAACAAAAAAACAACAACAACAAACAGTTTCTTCAGATAGTGCAGGGAGATATAATGCAAATCCTTCGACAACTCAATATGTTTTTAGAAAAAAATATCTCCATGATTGTGGATTAGAGGCAGCTCTGATGTTGAAAAATGTAACAGTGAAATATTGCATATCTGGGGTGCCACTGAGGGGAGATAGGGCCTCTTTCTCAGTCACTTATTGCTTAGGGTTAGTGCTGAGGATGGAGGTTCGGAGGAAAAGATTCAGAGAATAAAGTCATGATATTTTGAGAGAAAAGTTTCAATATTTCCAGAATAAAATCACAAAATTTCTGATATTTATTGTACTGTAACAATTTCAAAATATATTTCTTTCCTATTTTTACTTACTATTTGTAAATTTAAGACAAATTAAACATAATTTAATAAATAATTTCATAATCTTACCACAATAAAGACAATATGAGGATAAAGTTATAGTTTTTACATATTAAATATTGTTATGTATATTAGGTTTCGAGAATATAACCAAAATGTTAAAATACAATTGATTAGATCAGATTAAATGTGCATGTTTTACAACAGAGTATTAAGTTATTCACATAATAAAGTGTATTCATAATTTTTTCAACGTCATATTTTAAAATGATAACTTCACACTTTTACGTTACATTATAACTTTTCTTGAAATATTACGACTTCATTCTGAAAACCATCCCCCTAGAGTATTCCTAATACTCCATTGCAGTATTTCTGACAGTCCTCAGTGTTGCAGACAAAAACACATTCAGTCATCCCAGCCAAAAAAACGTCCCGTCATCTGGTAGAACTTCATGTTGAAGGGCCTGTAGAAGTCCCGTAGCCTCTGCACCACCTCAGGGTCAATGTTCGGATGGGTCCGCCCTTTGGTTTTGCCCAGGCAGTGGGGCTTGCTGCTGCCCTCTGCCTTCTTCAGGCACGGGAAACCCTTGGTCTGGTTGAAGTAAAAGTGTTTGTCTGTGATGATCCTCTTGAGCCCCAGGAAGTCCTGCACGCGGCCCAGCTCTCCGGCCGGGTCGCTGATCAGACGCTCGCCGCTCACAAACAGGATCTGGTCCATGGGGAAGTACTGCAGCCAGTTGTCCAGGTGCTTGGCGTAGATGCCGATCTGAATGGCGCTCCACGAGGTGTCGATGAGCCCCGTAGTCCTGTTTTTGAAGGTGAGGCTCTCGAAAGAGGGAATGTCAGGCTTCTTAGACAGTGTCTGTGTGTAGTCCGAGATAGCCCTGGTGACGGGGTCCCTCACTACCACGATCAGCTTGGTGTCCCGGGACATGGCGGATATCCTGGCTGGAGCCTCTCTGGTCACAAAGTAGCTGGGGGTTTTCTCCATGGTGATCTGGCCCTCCAGGGTCTTAGGCATCAGCTCCCTGGGAAGAGAAAAAAGTTTGGAAAAAGGGGAGTGAGATATTTGTTTGACCTACACTCCAGACTGAATCACACTGTCACAGTTATACAACCGCGCTTCTTACAATAAACACCCCAACTGGACGAACTCGGGCTATGTCATCGAAAACTCTGAATCCAATCAATCAAGAATAACACTGGAAAGAGTTTGTTTGCAGTAGTTTATTTATTTGATCTCTATCGGGTGTCTTTCTCCAAGCTCAATTAGCTGCTAAGAGGTGTGACCAAATGTTGATTTGCAGTTTTGCAGCAGCACACTCTGGATGTAAAGACACTCTTGTGGGGATAGTATACAGATGCTATCTCAAGTGTTCCTTAATGTAGCCTGAGGGCTTATGAAATCAAGAAGGGGGAAATCCCCTGGGTACATTTGAAAGGGGGTATTCTTCACTCTCATATGGCGCGAAAAGAAGAATGTCAATCTCTATACCCATACCGTAGTAGTGCTGTTATAAAATATTGATATTTGAGCTGAAAGGCCCTCTCAGCATAATTGATCCCATTCCTGTCTTTCAGTTTTCGCAACAAATGGTGGGAGAACATCAGAAAAATATTTCAACATATCATGTAATTTCCCCTCTGGTGTAAAGTGAGAAATCACAGAACGGTTCTTGTGGTTTAACACTGTCAAACTTTATGTGGGAAATTACTGAGTCTATAGGTGTTGTGGACTGTTCCACTTGAGCAATCTAAATGCGTTCACCTCTATGAAATTAAATCCTGAATCGTGATGAAAGTATGCTCATAAGTCCCACCTCAAATATTTACACCAGCAAAGTTCAACTAGGCATAACCTGAGGTTATAAAATGTATTTGCCGAATTTTTTTTATGAGTGCTTGAGTCCTTTCCTCCGTGAACTCACAAAAGGGATGGGAAACAAGCTAATCCATTTGGCCATGCCACCCCTCTTCTCCCACTCCTCTTTCTCTGCTTTCCTTCTGCCCAGCTGCCTTCAGGACAGTGACCTTAAGCAAAGTGGGTAAAAGCAGCCCATGAATGATTAACGCACCCTCCCTCTGCCATTTAAAGCCTCTGCAGAATACAGCTTTAAAATTCACCAAAGTACAGAATGCAGGCGTCAATTATTCATCTGCTTGGCTGGTGCTGCTTAAAGCGAGGACTGGCGCTGACAAAGTGGCCCAGGCTGCTCTCAGTGTAGACGCAGTTCGCCGCCCGTGACAGAACTACTGAGACCCTAAAGGAAGGAGGTCCTCTGAAATTTCTGAAGAGTGCTCATTATTTCAAAGCTGTTGTTTCTAGGACCACGCAAGCAGTGACAAGCAGTAGCACGTGTGATCAAAGTGTAGTTTCTTCCTACCGCCGAGTGCCTTTTTCTGATGTGATGGGCACGATCTTTCTCTCCTTCCAGAAAGAAGCTGATAAATAATCATGCTCTGTTTAACATACAAAGAATGAAAGGAAACAGAGGGCATGGAGATCTTCGCCAAGGACAGGTTTTACCCAGAGCGCATTTCTAAAAGACACCAGATGTCATGATGAACGTGATGACTAGCTTCACCAAGGGCTCTCCCCCAACGAGTCAAAATACATAATTGACACATTCTTAACTGCCCTCCAGACTGACACAGAGAAGCATTTTCTGATCTGGTGGTCCTAGCAGCAGGGCATCATGCGAGAAACTGTTACTGGACAGTCACATCGAACCATTGTGGCTCAATGTCACATTATTTCTTCCTCACGCTCCTTTCCTTCAAGATAATTCCCACGGCTGCTAAAGGTCTTTGTCATTTGAACATAAACGTGGAGTTTACTGAAACAAGTGATCCTGCCGTTTTTCTTTCTTTTGGAATTCTGACAGTATAACTGAAGCCATGTCAGAGGAAGAACTACTGAAGTCACGATTACTGAGGTGGCAGCACAAATGTGTTTTTGCCAGTTCTCCTTAAGGTTGTTCCAGGCTTTAAAACAGCTGTCGGTTGGGCTCAGAGTATTAAGTGAAACGGATCTAAAAGCCATAAGTCAATACCTTCAGGCCAATGTCAAAACACAACCATGCTATGCGGTTGAGTGGATGTTCTCTGTGAGGAACAAGATCACGAGGTCAGCACAAGGGGGACTCGCAGGAAGTGGTCGATAAAAGCAAGAACGGCAACACAGGTGCACTGATGTCTCGACATCCGCCTGCAAAACACTGACCGCCATCCGACCTCTAGAGTCTTCTCAGTATCTGCAACCTGTCCTACAGCTGTGTGAAGAGGAATGTGGACAAGGCTCCTTTCCTCTCACATTAGCTCTGCCCCATCACCCCAAAAGTCCAGAGTGAGAGTGTATAATGGTGCTTTAAAACAAACGTAATGCTGTCTGGGACTGCAATGGCTACTAAGCTGACAAGTCAATAATGAAGCACAACAGACTTAGTATTGATAACTGGGGAATCCCATACACTGACATGCAGGTAGTCTTCCTGAGTGTCTTCCTGTCTATATTTGCAACCTGCTGATATGGGAACCACAAGACTTCTGAAACAGCCCTGACAGTAGTACCATGACTTTATGATACAAAAGAGAACATTATTGTTTTATGAAAAAGAAATGAGCCTGTACTAAAGGAAGCATTCATATTTGATGCCGTGCGTCAAGCTTGTTCTGTGGTCGATGCACTCACAGCGGTGGTGTGTTGGTGCGAGGGCACTCTGGGGGGATTTTCAGGGTCAGTGAGGTATGTTGTATGGTGTGCAACACGAAGACAGTCATGTTTGGAAGTCCAAGTATGGAGGTCATAAGGCACTAGTGTATTCACGTTGATGTTAATGTTATAGTTTTTAAGAGAATGGTTTCAGGTTCATCTGTGGAGTGCAGTCACATGAAACAGATACTTTTGAAATGTTCTGTTTTGTGGCAAATACAACTTGCTTGCATGCATACAAGGCCTGCAGCTAATTATTGATGTTTATGATGGCGCCACATAAGGATTTATACAATATCTTATTCACGTATGCAGCAGCGTTCCCCCAGACCAAACAGATGTTCATGTCTAAAATTGGCACACTTCCCCTTTAATATAAAGAATGTTACAAAAAATGTGAACATTGCCTATCACAGGTTCGCAGAGCCCAAGGTGCTGTCTTTAAACTTTATATTTAGTCCGAGCATCAGTGCAAAACTCAAGCATATTCCATTAACAATTTACAAAACAGAGAAAAGAAGAAAATTGGAGGTCCACTTGGTTCCTAATAACCGACTGGAACCACTAACTTTTTTAACTTTTTGCCAGACAAGTGATATTGTTGTAGTTACTAATCAATTAAGTGACTAATGCACACTAGTGTTAAAGGAGTAAAGAACTTCAATCCTCAACTTTTGAGTTTTAGTTGGGCAAAGCAGTAAGGATTGGTTTTACAGTATGTGAACTCCACTGGGGTATTTCTTTCCATTCTACAGTAGAAGCATGCAGCGCTTTCTAATGAAACTTTATTGGCAGGGTAGGTGATGTAACAGATGACAAACTGTCCAAGTGCTTGATATTTACTGCAGTTCCAGATCCTGCTTTGATGTCTTCATCATGTTGCTAAAATATGACTCCCTGAACACAGTGATGCATGAAACACAGGCAGCGGGATCCACTCATGAAACAAGACACAGACCCAAAGTGATAAAAGAAACACAGCACATGAACCCTGGCCTCCCTTTAAATCAAATTCACTGCTTTGGCATGAATTTAAGTTCTGGAGAGCAACAAGAAAAAATGTTTAGGATGACTAAGAAGTTTAGAACATAACAGCTTGTGTACATGACAGAACATAACACATGTTGTAATTGTACGTCATTCCTCTCATATGGAACTAACTAGCTGGAAAAGGTTGCCAGGACTCATTCAGGCAGCTCTATTCCCTATTAAAAAACCAAATCCAATGTACACAGTAACATGCAGTACATCACTCAATGCGTCCTTTGTAGGCTCGTCTATAAAGTAACCACTTTGGAATAAAGGGCCTGATGCATCACTGCTTTCGTTTCCCTACTGAACGAATTTCACTTGCAAACCAACTGAACTCTGCCCTCATATACGGGCTGTGACTCATGTCTGCCTGTTATATGAAGGCCAAAAAAGTCTGACTGCGCCATAAGGTCTTATTTACTGTAAATCGGGTGCACAAATAATATGACAGCTTGACATATGAATTAGGGAGGAGTAGAAAACTAACAAATGATCAGCTCTGAATGGGCCATTTCCTGGTGTTACCCTGAACCTTTTACAAAGGGGCTTGGATCTAAGCCAATGTCTGTCAATTGACAGGAGTTGTAAAGACATAGCGGCAAGTGGGCATGAGTGCTGTCCACTTCTCCCCCACAAGCCTTTGATTCATTTTTCCTCTTCCAGCAGGGAGCCCTGGCAGGCATAACTACACTCCCACAGTGTTCCCCTGCCACTACCACCAGATAATAATCTTGTAATTGGCTCAATATTTCTGCTGTTTGTAGGCGAAGCAAAGGCCAGCGCCGCTCTTGGTGGCTTGGACTCACCAGATATTTTCCAGGTCAGTGGATGCTAGCGGAGGTCAGAGAAAAAGGAGGGGGAGGAAGGCAGGAGGGTGATTTAGAGTAATGGCTGCTGTGCGGTGAGGGAAAAGCCCACTCCTCTGAGCTCAGAGCATTGCTGCTCTGCCAACCAACAGCACAGCTCTTAACCTGCCCTGCGGGCTGCAATCGCCGGCAGCGTTGCAGCACATAAAGCTATAGAATGACACACATATGATGTGCTAAGTTGTAACAGCCTCTGCACATTACTCCCGGAAGCCCATGGAAACACTAATGAATGACAAAATGACATGTTTACCATAAACTCTAATGCACCTCTTTTTGTATTAATCACATTAATCACATTTAATTTTAAAAGGTGGGCAGTGAGTGGCACAATGTGGCCTTCATCATCTGCTGAAGGTGGATGGCGACAGATCCAACTATTTATAATTCAGGGATTACAGGTGTGTTTCCCAGCAGC